TCGTAGCCTTGAATGGATGGTGATATTGTTCATATTTTTCATGTTGTTCATTTATCTTCGTGAAGGTCGTAGATGAGGGCAGTTGGGCAGAATTAGGTGATGAGAGTCGTTTTACCGGTTGATTGAAGATTCTGAGTGCATTTTCGTTAGACTGAATTACATAGCGATGTGTTGAAAGACGCAGACAGCTATTAATAGATGTGTTGAAAGATGCAGACAGTTATTAATAATGTGTTGAAAGATGCAGATAAATGTGACGAATGTTGTGTTTAGTCAGACAATCTGTTCCAATCAACTATGCTGCATTTAGTGCATACAGTAATGCAGATATCTTAACATTGACTCAGTACCTAGAAATAGTAATTGAATCTCTGCCGAAGACTTTGTAACTCACCAGCAATGTCTGAATTTAGTTGCAAATATTCGAGTCGCCATTCCTACAGCGAGACGCATACTACATGAAAACCGTCTCGCTATTCTTGAGCATGGAAAATTTTTGTTAGTATTCAGATACTCTATACATCTATTTACAGGTTATTTTTCTTGCCATCAATTTGATTGGTGGTCTTAGGTTTCTTGGGACTTCTCAACTGGTTCACATAGTTAGTGGCTCCTTGCACGTCCTTTTTCATATCCTGAGCCTGGATTTTCCACTTGTAGAAGAATCCGTGTTTGGCCCGCAACTCTTTTCTCTTTCTTTCAACCTCTCTATTGACTATACCGACCTGCTCGTCGTACGGAATGCCCGCCTCAGCCTCAGCGATGGTCTCTTTGCCAAATAAGAAGTCAAATACACGCCCGTCAGACCAGAAGAACCCCTTTCTGTCAACAATCCAGTTCCTTGACTTGGCGCCCGTTTCTTTAAGAACAAAGAAGAACATGGAATTATCGGCGGTTCCGTAGAACCCTTTTCCAGTCCATACCCGGGCAGTATGTTTTCTGGCTATCGAGCTAAGTGGAAGAGTGATCACAGGTGTAGGTGCCCCAGGGAAAAGGGGATATGACGTGAATTTGACATGCTCGACTGGGCCCGGCAAATACCACATTCTTCTGACCAATCTAGTTGGAAACTTTGCAAACCCGGTAGCAGCTACCAATGCAATCACACCGAGAGTAGAGTACTTGATGAGCGAAATGAACCATTCACGTTTTCTGATCGGCTCACTAAGCTCCTGGTCATTTTCTTCGTAATCTTTGTTAGCCTGGAAATACGCATATTCCAAAAGAACAAACCCATAAACAGCGAACACGAGCGAACAGCAGAACGATGCTAAGAAGTACAATCTGTGCGGTTCGGCTTCGTAAATCAATTCTGGTTTCTGTTTATTCTTCAAAATCTGAACCACTTGTCTGAATGAATATTTCGGTCCAACCTGGGGAACTCCAGGTCTAGGCAATAACGTAGGAACAGCTTCTTTACCGAGTGGAAATTTTGGAATACGACTTTTCAAATCGTTCTTGTGTTCGGCCTCTCCTGGTATATGGTGTTTCATATGCTTCCATTCTCCACTAGTTGGTAGGTCCTTCTTCGGGTTAAAGTCTTCTGGTAAATTCGATTTAAACCGCTGGGAAAGCGACAACCCTAGCATATTAACCTTCAGGTATCTGAAAGGACTGGCTCTAATACCATATCCTATCCTTGATAATAGCATATTTGTCTGTAAGAGTTAAATATCAGAGTTCATCAAATCTCGAAAATTTTTTGGATCGCTTTTATTTATCTGACTGCTACACAATTTTCAATCAAAACTTCTTTCTTTCTTTTTTTTGAAATCATGTCTAATACATATCATATGACTCGTCTATTATACAACTTGTGGCTGTAATAGTTGTATGGATGGCTCAATATGAGTGAACAGAAGCATGAGAAATATTCTCTATTATATCATTATTCAACCTATAGAAGGTTCTACTTTACATACTATACAACATAGATAGATCACCTACCTTTCCTATTATTCTTAAAGTTATCATTTTTCTTCTTCGTGGGTTTGATATTGGTTTCTGCTCGCTTCAATTGAACTGGATGTTGCCCAATATACTTTCCGTTCATGTCCTTGAATGCTTGGAAGTAATCGTCTGGGCTTTCAAAAGCAACGAACCCATATCCCTTGTTCTTGCCTGTTTTGCTATCAACTGGAACTTTTACTTTACTGAGTGTTTGATATTTTCCAAATGCATTAGCTAATAACTCATCTGTAGCATCTGTCCCCAAATTTCCGACAAATAATCGAAAATGTTTTGGATTCCATTCCAATAGGGACGAATCCTCCCAAGTCTTGCCTCCGCCAGCTCGTTTCACTGTCTTTTGTGTCTCATTTGAACCTTGGGTTGTAGTAGACTTTGGTAATACCTTAGTGATGTTTGATGGTTGGTTTAAAATTGCATTATGCAAATAATTTGCCGGTTGTCTACCAGCTGCTAAACGACGATCCGAAGATTTAGTTGTATTTAGCTTTGACTTCTTAATACCATTACTATTATTCATTATTGCTCAAGTATTTGACCTATTGCTTCTAATTTTGCATCTGAGAGTATATTTAGTGAGGTGCTGAAATTCTCGATGAGATCAAAATAATTACGCTTTTAAAACGTCCATATAATATACCAGCAGCATGTTTATATTATCAAAGCTATCGGACTTAGTTCGTATACCACCTCATACGTTTAACATTCCGATTCAGGAATCTATAACAAATGAATTAAACAAAAAATTTGCAAATAAAGTCATAAGTAATCTTGGTCTAGTAATATCACTTTGGGATTTAATAGATATAAAGGATGGATTGTTAAAACCAGGAGATGGTGCGTCTTTCGTAGAAGTCACGTTTAGATGTGTTGTCTGGAAGCCATTTATCGGAGAGGTTTTAACTGGTTGGGTTAGTGAATGTTCTGCTGAAGGAATCAAAGTTAAATTAGAGTTCTTTGATGAAATTTTCATCCCTAAAAACTATTTCTTCGAAAACTGTTTCTTTAAGCCAGTAGAAAAGGCCTGGGTTTGGAAACCCGATGATGAGACGGAGTTGTATATTGATATTAACGAAAAAATTAGATTCAGGATCGAAGAGGAAATTTTTGTCAATATCAAGCCTAAATCAAGTAGCGAAGCTTTTGGCTTAGAAGAACCTACTAATAAGGCCCCTCCATACGCATTATTGGCTTCCTGTCAAAGTGATGGTATGGGTTGTGTTTCATGGTGGGATTAGTTGTGTAAAATATATACGTTTAAGATACAAAGGAAATCTTTTAATAGAAATTTATTATAATGTAAATAATGTAAGTAATTAATCTAGTTATATTGCATATATTGACTGGTAGAACTGAACTTCATGTTACCCTTGATAACCTTCTCGACAGATTTTAAGAAGTCCTTTTCATTGGCAACCTTTCTTCTAGCTCTGATAGCAAACATACCTGCTTCTGTACAAACAGATCTTAATTCTGCACCGGTAGCATTTGGACACAATCTAGAAATTAATTCCCATCTTATATCCTTCTCACAACTCATAGTCTTTGAATGAATTCTGAAAATATTAGCACGTCCTTCCAAGTCAGGCAAGGAGAATTCAACCTTACGGTCAATTCTACCTGGTCTTAATAATGCAGGATCCAACGTATTAGGTCTATTTGTGGCAAACATAACTTTGATATTACCTCTTGGATCGAAACCATCTAATTGTGTGATCAATTCCAACATGGTTCTTTGAACTTCGTTATCACCACCAGCTCCGTCATCGAATCTAGCACCTCCAATGGCATCAATTTCATCAAAGAATACAATACATGCTTTTTTAGTACGTGCCATTTCGAACAATTCTCTCACCATTCTAGCACCTTCACCAACATATTTCTGAACCAATTCCGAACCTATGACTCTAATAAATGTGGCATCAGTTCTGTTGGCGACGGCCCTGGCACACAAGGTTTTACCAGTTCCCGGAGGACCATACAACAATATACCCTTTGGTGGATCAATTCCTAATTTGACAAATCTTTCGGGTGATAATAATGGCAATTCAACAACTTCTCTCAATTTTTCAATTTGGTCTTTACATCCTCCCACATCGCTGTATGTCACATCAGGCTTCTCTTCCACAGTCATCATGGTCACTGATGGGTCAATTCTTGGTGGTAATGGCAATTGAATCTCGTACTTCTGTCTATCCACACCGACTCTCATACCTTCTTCTATATCTGTAGGAGACACCCTTTCACCCAATCCGACCACAAATTTGGCAATTTGCTTTATATTAATAACATATTTGGATTTATTATCAGCGTTTTGAAGTAATCCCGCTTGCGGGTTAGGGTTAGTCGCTTCAATGATCTTGGTACATCTTGCAACTTGTAAAGGCTGTTCTTCCGACATCCTTTGCTTATCTCCCATAACATCCCACAAGTGTGGAGCGGCCAACCCAGTATCACTTTCTTTAATACCAATGTTTTCTTTTATTCTTTCTTCGATAGTCTTCAAATCCTTTTCGATTTCCTTCAATGATGATGCATATGGCGCTGCACCGTATGTTTTCAACACCTGAATATCTCCTTCACTCAAAGGCTTAATTTTATCCTGAGATTCGTCGTCCTCATTTGGCGCTACATATTTATCCCAATCGGCTTTTGGGGGCATCTTGTATGTGTTTTCGAATGTATAATTCTGTTACTAAGTGGAGAATGTTAGAAGATCAATAGTGGCAACGATCTTGTATTTGCCTTCACGTAATTTGGGTGGTGGTTTTTTGTGTAACACACGATCACATACTTTATAGTATGGAGTCTTCTACTACTAAACACTGGAAATCTAATTCAATAGTCTTATATATTACTAATATAAAGAGTTAGATGAATAAATAGGTTGCTAAATAACAAGTTGTAATTTTTTGACTTCGTTTAGTCCTCGCCAAAATAAAATATTAAAGAAAAGGTGTTGCTAAGTGAATTGAACATTCAATTCCAAAATGAGTCAATGATTACCTAGTAAGCACGGACAGTTGGTGGAACAGGTTTACATTCGTTTTCATCTAATGTTGTTTGAATAACATCTCTGTAATCTAACTTAACATCGTCACCGAAATTAGTTTGGTAAGACAAAGAGTGCTTCCACCAGTTGGTATCGTCTCTGTCTGGGTAATCTTCTCTTGCATGGGCACCTCTAGATTCCTTTCTGGCAGCAGCAGAGGCAGCGGTTTGGGTGGCACAGGTTAACAAGTTTTGTAATTCTAAGGTTTCAACCAAGTCAGAGTTCCAAATCATGGATCTGTCAGTAGTACCAACATCGGAGAAGGTCTTATCGACTTTACCGATGTTTTCAACACATTCGTCTAAGGTTTCTTGAGTTCTGAAGACAGCACAACCCTTTTGCATAGTCTTTTGCATTTCCAATCTGATTTGGGCAGTAGATTTAGGACCATTAGCGTTTCTTAACTTGTCTAAGTTTTCAATCGATTCCTTACCGGCATCAGCAGCTAATGGAGATAATGGAGTACCTGGAGTCAAAGAGTCTCTAATAGTGTGAGAAACAGCTCTACCGAAAACAACTAAATCTAATAAGGAGTTAGCACCTAATCTGTTAGCACCGTGAACAGAAGCACATGCGACTTCACCACAAGCTAATAAACCTGGAACAACCTTATCTTGACCGTTTGAATCCTTGGTTAAGACTTCACCGTTATATTTAGTTGGAATACCACCCATATTGTAATGGACGGTTGGTAAAATAGGGATTGGTTCCTTGGTGACATCAACACCGGCGAAAATGTGAGCAGTTTCTGAAATACCTGGTAATCTTTCCTTCAAAACAGATGGTGGTAAGTGGGATAATTGTAAGTACATGTGATCCTTTTCTGGACCAACACCTCTACCTTCGTTAATTTCCATGGTGATAGCACGAGAAACAACATCTCTACAAGCTAAATCCTTAGCGGTTGGAGCGTAACGTTCCATAAATCTTTCACCTTCAGAGTTGACTAAGAAACCACCTTCACCTCTGGCACCTTCAGTAATCAAACAACCAGAACCATAAATACCGGATGGGTGGAATTGAATGAATTCCATATCTTCTAATGGTAAACCAGCTCTGGAGACCATAGCGTAACCATCACCAGTACAGGTGTGAGCAGAGGTACACGAGAAGTAAGCTCTCCCGTAACCACCGGTGGCCATAACAGTCTTGTGAGATCTGAATCTATGTAAAGTACCATCTTCTTGGTTGTAAGCCATAACACCTACACATGCACCGTCTTCCATCAACAAGTCCATAGCCATGAATTCAATAAAGAAATGGGTGTTGTGTCTCAAAGCTTGACCGTACAAAGAATGCAATAAAGCATGTCCAGTTCTATCGGCAACTGCACAAGTTCTGTATGCTTGGCCTCCCTTACCGAATTCCTTGGATTGACCACCAAAAGCTCTTTGGTAGATTCTGCCTTCGTCGTTTCTCGAAAATGGGACACCGTAGTTTTCCAATTCGTAAATCGATTCTGGTGCTTCTCTGGTCATGTAGTGAATAGCATCCTGATCTCCTAACCAATCCGAACCTTTCACGGTATCGTACATGTGCCAGTGCCAGTCATCCTTGTGCATGTTACCTAAAGCTGCGTTAATACCCCCCTGTGCTGCCACAGTATGAGATCTGGTAGGAAACAATTTCGAAATACAAGCAGTCTTGAACCCGGCCTCGGCTAACCCAAAGGCTGCTCTCAAACCAGCACCACCAGCACCAACAACGACACAGTCATATTCGTGGTCAATGACATGATATTTTTTTCCCATGTACTTAGCAGTGTTGAGATCATTACCTTTAATGTTGTCCCCAATGGTTTGTAACTTAACACATGAAGATGTGAAAAAACGTTTATTATTTGAAAACTTAGTAGCAGCTAATGCTGAACGGCGTAAGCTAAGCATTCTGGATAAAGATGTTATCTTTTCTTTTGCTTCTGAATATTTAAACCTATCCTTTTAAGATTGAACAACCTGAATTGAATAATTTTCAGTTTACTTACTTAAATGCTTTCCCGGGGCCCGGGTGTATTCATTTTTCCCCATATAGCCAATCAAATTTTTTTCATTTGTCAATTTGTTGGAGCCGAAGCGAGAATGTCGTGAAGAGATTGACGATGTCGCAAAGTCGTCTGGAGAGTCTGGAGAGTCTGGAGAGAGGTGTAGGGATGGATTAGGCGTGGCTTGGTGGAGGTCCAGGAGTTGTCCGGTTGTCCAAGGGTTGTCCAAGGGTTGTCCTAGGATTGGATTACTGTGAATTGAAAAATCGGTATTACTGAAAATTGGTACTACTGGTTTGAGAATGTTCATGTATAAGCTATATTTGAGGACACATGTAAGAGTGTGTACTGTATTATAGACACTATCGTATAGACGACTGTAACGTAGATGGTATGTATTATATTGATGACTGTAACGTAGATGGTATGTATTATATTGATGACTGTAACGTAGATGGTATGTGTTATATTGATGACTGTAACGTAGATGGTATGATGTATAGACGACTGTAACGTAGATCGAATGATGTATTGATGACTGTGTAGATGGTATGTATTATATTGATGACTGTAACGTAGATGGTATGTATTATATTGATGACTGTAACGTAGATCGTATGATGTCCACTTCTTCGAGTAAGGACTTTTTGTCTTCATGGGGACACGAAAACACATTGAAATGCAAGAGTTTGAGGTTCAAGCTGCCGAGCGAATCGATGCATGCATTGACCTTGGATATGAATGGATGCTGTTTGAGCCTGTTCTGCGACAAGTATTTGAGGAGATTAAGCATAAGCTGAAGGTTGGAGTTGAAATCGGTCAATTTGAGTGTGAGGTCGCTCTGAGTATTGTTTTTGTTGACGTGGTTATTGCAGACGAGCAATAAAAGCTCGTACAAGGAAGAGATGTTGTACTTGATCACATTGAAAAGCTTCGTGTACCAGAACAACGAGTTAACCGACAACAGCACCTGAGGCTTTGAGTTGGATGTAGGCTCCGATATCAACAATGTGAACGAGTTGGACAAAAATTGCAATGTGAACTGGAACGACTCGCTTGCCGAGAGCTGGTCTAATTCTATCAAAAGGTAGTAGTAATTGAGGTTCACCAACGATATGTAAGCCTGGAAATTTGTGTCATTGGAATACGAATTGTGGATCACCAGGCTAGTAGAAACCCTCCAGTTCTCGAGGTCCTGACTTAACTCTTTGACCTTTGCCGCGTCGCTACAATCTCGCAACTTCAAATCCAATATCCTGTACTGTAGTTTGTGTAAATGTATGTCCTTGACGATGCTGGCACCCGACTCGTCATCGGTGAAGGTTTCAGCGGATGGAATTTCGAGCTTTATGTACTTAAAGTTAGGCAATTGACTCGGTTTATGTAGTAAAATATTCAATTCACTGTCGAGATTGAAAATAGACCAGAAAATACGTTTTTGTTGGTTTTCATCTTTGGCCTGAGGTTTATAAAAGTCCAACGCAATTATTATCCTGCTGATAATACCATTCAAACCCCAGCATAACTCGACATTAAATATTTTAATCGCATATATTGTTAATAACATTAATAATGTCAAATTGGCAAAGTCTTCTTCCTCATCGTTATTTCCTCCAAAATTTAAGATTCCTATTATAGATTCTATAGCCTTTTCACTGAAATACTCTCCGAAAAAGCTTGTGTCGTTATTATAATCGTAGATGATACATCCAACACTCATTAGTAAATAGACGTCCAAGTTTATAATCATTTCTCGTTCAAAGTCAATTTTCTTGAAGTTTTCCATAAATTTTTCTTTATTTATAAATGGATACATATTTCCATAATTGTGAAAGTAATTCAACACAAAGCACAATGCTAATTCGTTTTTAATGGCTTTCATCGTTATAAATTCCTCTTTCAAGTTCGTTTTCTGTTGTTGTTTTAATGATTTTAATGCTAATATTTCTGACATTGTTTTCTCCTTAGGTGTGTCCTTGCTCTGGCCTGGACGTGAAATTGGTTTTTTATGTCTTGTCTGTATTTCTTTGAATTGGTCTGGCGCTCTGTTAGCTGCCTCTCCGGACAACAATGACGACACTGTCACGAGCTTATGTACAACCACCAGATCATCGTTCTTCCCCTTACTTCTGGAAGAACTATCGCTTTTCTCATTCACTATATGGAAAGTGGGCGATTCAGTTTCAAAATTCACTCTATCGTCATATACCTTTTGGTTGGTCTTCTTCCGTCTCTTGTTACTTCTGTCGATGTATGCACAGCTAGCACCTGCTTTCGTACAATTCTCACACTCAGGATACAATCTCAGGCACTTCTTTTTCAATTTGTAGCATCGGTCACAATTAAAGGAATGATGTGTTTCGGGAAATTCCACTGCCTTCATACTGGCAGAATCGGTACTATCTGCGGATTCACCCTGCGTTTGGGTCTCATACACTGATTCTTTTTGAAGTGGCTCACGTACATTCGACTGATTCAGATGAATAACGGTACCGCTGCTAGTATTGTTCCCATTTAATTTGAATTTACTAGCAACAGTTCCATTTCCCATCAGTTTTCGGTAATAGAAATCCATTACAAATAATCCCCAATATATATTTGTCCAGTTTTAACTAATTCAATTTATTATTTCGTTTTATGAACTAGAACAAATAAGATAATTCACCTGATATGAGTTTTCTTTGCTTTTATGTTTTATCGAGTCAAGAAGTTCAGTTATTAATGCCTGAAATATTGCCTGACGGAGTCTTTTTTTTTGCTTAGTGAGCGGGCCCGTTGAAAGTGGTCACAAAACCGCTGTCGGCTTTGCACCAATACGGTAACAATATAATAGTTCTAATACCTATATAAATGACTTCACTAAGTCTTCTCTTGCTACAAAAACATATATAAATACTTTCGAGATATCGTATTATGACTATGTACATTTTATGAGACTAAAATTATGTATGTATTAAGCAGTTTGTGGCTCTAATTCGGATTGTTCGTGTTGCTGCGATTGTTGTTCTTGTTGTCTTAATTTGGCAAATTCTTCAACAGCTTTGGCTCTCAATTCATCCAATAATATGGTTTGGTCTCTTGGGTTGAAGGGTGGTAAGCTGTCATGTTCGACCAAATCAGATCTCCAGTGCGAGTCTTCACCTTTTCTCCATAAACTCTCCCATGTTAAAGTGGTGCCTTCTAATTCGAATTCATCTATGACATGTGCCAAGTCGGCCACTGCTTCTTGCGAGTATGTTGGTCTGTATTGGCCGGAAAACCACACGTTACCTTCGTCGTTCTTTTTTCTCATCGCCTTGGCTTCTTTTTTCTGCACCACATCTCTCACTTGTCTTAATTGAACCAACCCTTTGTACGCGGCAATGGCGTATTCGTAGTTTTCAAAACTGGCTACACACATGATTCTCCATAAATCGTTTCTTCTGCTTGGCTTCCTGTTTTCCCAGTTTGGTCTGGTGAATTGCTCGTCAATTTGATCTTGGTGGAACGCTGGTACCTGCGAATACAAAACTTGTCCCGAAAACAAATTCTTGAACATGTACACTTGTGGAGCCATGTTTAAGTTAATCAAGTCCTGTTCGGTCTTTTCTCCCTTGGCTATTCTAGCTCCTAAAATTTTACGGGTCTTGAGATGATCTATAAGATGCTTTCTCATCCTTTTTTCGGCTCTCATTCGCATTATAGGCATCTTGTATTATATTTTTCTCGGTTTGTTTATCAATAGGTACTATTATAGATCCCCTTTAAGTCGAATACTTCATTCAATCTATCACTCTTTGACGCTGAAAATTTATTACCGTGCTTTGTGAAAATTAAAATCGTGTCCGACTCAAAATCTTTTTTCACCTCGATCCACGTGATGGCCATATCAAATACACCTTAACCTAGTATGGCTTTAACTGATAGGATACTTGACGTTATTGGTAGATGTTAATGGAATCAGTGTGCATTCCTTAGAAATAGCTGCAATGTCTAGTTTCATATCTTCCTTTTTTGGTTGCATTCCATTTATTATAACCTTTATATTTATATTGACATGGGCATATACATTCGTATTTCGTCAGAACATAGTACAGACATATTCAGTACGAAATAGCATACCCAAAAGACAAATCAATGAGTATATAAGACGAAATATCAACGATACTTACGGGACAGGATTGGTTGAAGTTAATATGGAAGGGGTTGAAGATGATGAATACACAAATATTGATAAGCCAAATATGCGTGGAGAGTATAATAGTACGTGGAATCGAATTATTGGGGCCGTATTTAGTCTCAGTTTTTCGTTTAGTGTGGAGTTGATCATTCTCATGATGTGCGAGCTTATTGATGTATTTGACGAACGGGCGAGGTTGTTTTGCTTTAAATTCATTATCACTTCGTTGGTATTTCTCTTGACGTGCATCCAACCGTTCATGATGATAAGTTTATTCCTCAACGAGGAGCTCATTCCTGTAACACAGAGTAACTTGAAGCGTACATATACGGTGGTGGCATATTTGGGGTGGTTTTTTATACTTCACAAGTGTGGTGACCTTTCGCAGGCATTCACTCCGGACAAGAGTAGCTTGGGGGCAAAGACGTTGATAGAAAGGAAAATCAACGAAATTTCTATTGCAGGAATCACAACAATGGCCATACTATCAGGTGTGGGTTCCACGTCTACGCCGTTTAAGGTATTCTCTATTAAACAAATGCGTTCATATTTTAAGAACGATGGCCTTTATACCACCAATAAAGGTAGGGTAAATGAGGCAGATATTAATAACTTAATCCAGTCATATAACCATACTACTTCTTTGATAAACAAGAGAAAGAAGGAGTTGAATAAATTACAAGTTGCAAATGGTGGTACGGTCTATAATCTACCAAATACTTCATCTGATAACTTCCTCCTGTATAACAGTCACAAAATTAGCGACCTTGGTGGGTCCCCCAAAAAGAATAAATTAGGAGGGTTACTTAATAAAGTGCAGTCATTTGCTAGTTTATCGAGTCTCTCGTTAGACAGGGAAAAGCTGGAAGAAAAAGAGTTGCGAAATGAGATTGATTCTATGATATCCTTGAGACAACACATTTATAATGACCTAGTTAAAACACTTTTTAAGTTTTCATACGAAAGAGATCAATTACAAAATAAGAATAAACTATGGGTTAAAGCAATGAATATATTTAATGTTGCATTTGCCTTATACTGCGTTTATCGGATAATTAATGTTTTCATAATCAAGCAGGTTATATTATTTTTGAAAACTCCAAATCAAGACGAGTCCGGAATTATTAATGACTACAATGACGAAGCTGTTACCAACACTGATGCGTTAGCTATTACAATTTCCAAATTAATTCTATCAACAACGCAATTGTCGATGCAAGAGACTCAGTTGGTTAACCAGATCAGTTTAATATTGTCAGGAAGTTTATTCATTTGCTCGTTTTCGAATGTCTTGAAGACATTTCAGTCCTTCACCAAATTTTTTCCGTCAATTACCAAAATTTCTGCCACAACCAAAGATTGGTTGAAAAACTTAGTTATCACAGAGTTACTAGGTATTTATGTAATTTCCACGGCAATCCTAATCAGGACCAATTTGCCAACAAATTTGTCTAACCAAATTTCAAAAATACTTTCACTAACAGGAACTTCGTCGTCAAATGCTTTGCTAACCTCCGCAAAAGAAGTCCAATTTATAGACGACTGGTTTGATAAGATATTTGGCATAGCATGTGCTTCCACTTTAACTGTCTTTGTCATAAAACTATTTTTAGATGATGAAGCGGATGATATATATGACGAAGAGATGATGCTAGAAGATAATGCCACTTCTTCTTCTTCTTCTTACAAAACTGCATAGTTCTTAATAAACGTTACCAATTTTCCCTCTCCGTTCTGCAGCTTACTCCATAAAATAATAATTGAGAAAGTATTTAGCACCTCCTCTCTGCCCCCTCTCCATCCAGGTCCAAACATTATAAGCCTTAATTATGATACACATGGAATTCATATAAGCACTTCCTCGTAAACATTTTTTCTCGGGTTGCACCTTTTCCGTATTGTTTTCCGAACCTAGTATGTGATTTTAGTGCATATGAGCAATCGTTTAGAAAAACTAAATCCGATATGTGCACCAAGTCCGTTCGACATATCTGAACGGTAACAAAATCCATATAGTAAATCAGAAGAAAGCCTTGATGTAAACCTAATTTCGTGCTACATAACTAAATAAACTGCCGAATACGCTAAGTAATCAAAGGCATTGTATGATTTATATTCTAAAGGCACAATTCTTTTTCAGTAGATCAGAATGCGCGATTCGGACAGTTTAATGTAGATTGCGGAGTAGAACAATGTACCAGCAGTTATGCAATTTGGCATATGAACAATTGCGGAGACATATATATATATAGAGAGAGAGAAACATATTTCGTTAAATCTTCTTATCGAAAAGGTGAGCAAGACGACAATTAGACTAGGATTATGTCAGTACTTCAACTTACTAAGCAATCGCACAACGAACCTTACAAGTTTAGGATCAATCATGAAGATGCGCAAGCTGTGCTAGGACCCTATGCAAAAACTCCCGAAAACGACACTTTACCGGAAATTCACACAAGGTCAAATGTTGCTATATTAGGAGCTGGTTTCTCGGGTATAGCATCTGCATTAGCATGTTTGAAGAATTTGAATGAGACTGATTTTGTCGTATTTGACAAGCACGATAATTATGGTGGTACATGGTATGCCAATACTTATCCTGGTTGTGCGTCAGATATCCCAGCTGTATGGTACTCATTTTTCAGTGAGCTTAACAATAACTGGAGTAGATTACAACCTCCACAATATGAGATGGAGGAATATATCTTGACTGTATGCAAGAAGTATGATTTATTTAAGTATGCTAAGTTCAAGACTATCATCACTGCACTCGATTATAACGACGAAGAAGGTACATGGACATTGACGGGTAGAAACCTTACCAACGGACAACTTATAAAGCATACATCAAAAATTATTCTTTGTTGCCAAGGTGGTTTAGTGACTCCACAACAATTGATTGTTCCAGGAATTGGCACCTTCAAGGGCGAGTATCTCCATTCAGCCTTGTGGGATCATAATGTTTCTTTCAAGGGAAAGAAAGTCGTTGTTGTTGGTAATGGGTGTTCTGCAAATCAACTTGTTCCAGCGTTGTTAAGGGATTATGAACCTGAGAGCATTGTGCAAATAGTGAGGTCAAAGCACTACATTATGCCACCTCTTCCGAAGTTTGTTCATTTTACATACAGACTTTTATCATTTTCACGAGTAGGACTAGTTTTTGTTCGTTGGTTGATAGCTTTCTTTGCTGAAGCTAGATTTCCCTTATACAAGGGTAACGGTATCTTGGCAAGAATAGTACGTTGGGTTAACACGCAATATTCATTACTTTACATGAAATCGACATGTCCCAAAAAGTTTCAGCCTATGGTTATTCCTGATTATAAGATTGGATGCAAACGTCTTATATTTGATTACTCCTATTTACCCTCATTGCATGATCCTCGTGTAGATGTTACAAACGAATCCATCGATCATGTCGATGAGCACTCAGTAGTCTTGAAAAATGGTGAAGTTCTTGAAGCTGATATAATTGTTGCTTGTACAGGATACGATGTTCTTCAAAGTTTCGGTAACTATAAGATAAAAGGACGTCAAGGTACTGATGTTTCCCAAGTCTGGAAGGAAGAAGGAACTTCTGCTTATGAAACTATTCTTATCAGGGACTGTCCCAACTTATTTATGATTGGAGGTCCAAATTCTGCTACAGGTCACTCATCTGTTGTTTTGGCGATTGAGAATGGATGTAAATATTTTGCCAAAGTGGCACCAAAGGTCTTATCTGGGGCATACAAGTCTGTTTGTGTCAAGACCCTGAGCTACTACAACTGGTTCCATACTACCCAAAAGGAATTAGCCAAGTCTGTGTTTGGAACTAAGTTTGGTGGATGTGCTTCATGGTACGCAGAGGGGGGAATAAATTCCACCACGTATCCATACTCCCAGGTGTCGTACTGGTGGAGAATGAGACATCCAAAGTGGAATGACTTGGAAGTTGAAACCCCATACGACTTGAACAAGGCAGGATCGAAGACCAAGGCCGCATAGAAAATTCACTACGTACTTAGGTTATGTAACTTACCGTATATTTATTAAATGAGCCATACCATAACTATATAATACTAAACAACCAGTAATCAACGCTGGAGTCGTAATAAATAAGAGAATGCAAAAAGGAGGAGTTAGCACAGGGAGCTATTCTTGGTGTTAACCAACTTACCCTGCCAGCTGTAATACTTACTCATGTCAACATGATGTTTCCTACCGTTGTTGGCCTCGTACATCGAGCACCCGTACATCGAAGCGTATGGAGGCGTGTATAAGTGTAGCGAAACAGAATACTGGTCTGGAAGTGGGTTGGAGATCTTATGGAGCCCAATAGCGTCCGAAATGTAACCCACCTCACCGCGACGCATCACGGTCTCCTTTTTAGGATCTAAATGGTGTCCTTCTTCTGTGGGTATATCATAGAGCGATTCCTGTAACGATCCTTTCAAGATCTTCATGCAGCAATGAGCGTTAGCGTGGTCGTGAATAGCACTGGCCCGCTTAGGACTCCAAACCAAAATAAGCAAGTTCGCATTCCCATTGATATCCACAACTCCATTTCTAGTGTACGGTCTCGATTGATCGTGGAGCGCATATTTCCCCCATTCCTCTTCGTTCGACTCATACTCTTCCATCACCTGTTTCACCCTTTCGATGTCAACGTCTTCCGACGCGAGCCCTTTGCCCGATAAAATCACCTTCAACTTGCGTATCAACTCCCCAAGTTCATTATCAGGCACTTCGTCTTCATTCACACTCTGTTTTTCTTGTTTCTCGCCCTTTTCCTCTTCTTTTTTCTTATCCTCTTCCTTTCTGTAATCTCTGTTTAGTGGCTTCATATGACTTCCACAAGTAGAGCCCCCCGCTCCTGACACCTTGTGTCCTAATTGATTAGCGACTAACATATTAGCTGTGTGTTTGTGTATACCTTCCAACTACCTTGTGTTACACTATGAAAGAAAATAAACTAAATTTACCTATTCAAATCCAGGTATTTGTTTGATATCTAACTACTTTTCCCCTCGTACAGACGGAAAAATCCTTCTTTATATATTTAGTACCGATTTCCCAAACTTAAAATCGTCGGCGGGCCCACGAACGGACCTTGGTCACAAATTGAGCAAATAATTACCATATTGGGTAAAATTGGTTGACACACTTGTTTTTTTTAACACGTCATCGCCCGCTGGCCCAATACGACCGTCCGATAGGCGGGCGATGCATAAACGGACCTAACCCTATTGGGCGCAGCGGCCCCATTGGTTGAGCGGCACTTTCCGTATTTGGAATTACGACCGTCGTCTATTGCTCATATCTATTTTGGGACTACAAGTGATTGTCAAGAACTGCTACGACCGCGTAAACAGGAGTGGTAATTGGAGGAAGCATGTGTTCTAGTCCTGCTATCTGTGTTCGTGTCTTGTTCGTGTTTTGTTGATACTACATTTGCATTCGATTCATGGTTTCGTTGCTAGCCGCTTCCCATGTCAGCATCCCTCCTTTACTCCCGAATATGTACGTAGTATGTATGGCTACATGTATGTCCCTATATATGCTCATATACGATACGAATGCCGTTGCGTATTTGTATGGTAGAGCATCGGTAAAAAGCGCATTTTCCGATTTGTGCTCACTGCGCTTGGTCATGGAACCAGGCATTTTGACTCTCACAAACGGTGTTACATCGCCGTAGTGAAGAAGCTGCCAAATGTATATTAAGGGTGCCTTTTCCATGTAGAAGCCACAACACACCTACCTATCAACTAGTCTATCCACTTTGTTAACTAATCTGCTAATTGGTCTCTTCACCATCACTTGATCAGACTGATTACATAAGCCGCAATATCTGGTTTGAGTCATTCCTACTACTTAGTATCAGACCTATAACGTATTATACGTATTACGCCGTATCAGACTTATTAGACATATAAATAGTTATTATAATAGTTGTGATAATAGAAAAAAACAACATACTTGAAAGAAAAATCGCTAATAGAAGAGTGAAGATTTATGTCATCGAATTCAACGGTCATTTCAAACACAGCTTCAAAGTTGGAGCCACAGTTGACGAGATGCGATGAGACGAATACGAGTGCTATTAGACGTCTTGGACATGCAATCGAACAAAAATTAATCAAAGGGTTCACGCCAGCTTATTTTGTGACCATCATGGGTACTGGGGTGTCGAGTGGTATCTTGTACAATTTCCCTTACCCTGCGAGATGGCTCGAGATTTGTGGGTACATAATGTTTGGCATCGCAGTGATGTTTTTTATTCTGTCGGTTATATGTTTTGTGGTGTCGATGTTACGGTATCCAGAGAAGTTCAAAGCTTATCACAGTGATCCGGCCGTTGCTCCGTACATGGGGTGTTTGCCCATGGGTTACAATACGTTGGTAAATTTTCTATATTACATCACGGGAACGGGATGGATCATTGGAATCTGGGTCTTGTGGTGGATCTCAGTGATTCTATCGTTGTACACGGCATGCGTGGTGTTCTACTGTGCATTTCTCGCCAAACGAAAATCGGGTGCCAATTACTTAGATCCAAAAGAATTGCATGCCACCTTGTTGTTGCCCATCGTCACCCTTACGGTCGCTGCGCTGTCCGGTAACACATTTGCTTTAGACTTGCCGTCAGTCGACTTGCAAGTCACCACAATGATTGTGAGTTACATCTTGTGGTCCAACGCCATCTCATTGGCCGTCATTATCATATCCGTATATTATTGGAAGTTGTTTGTATATAAAATACCTCCTACAAAGCTTGTATTCACAAGCTTTTTGCCCATCGGTGTTCTCGGCCAGGGTGCATTCTGCATTATGTTATTTGGCAATAACGTGTATAACTTAATTGTCGAACACCATAGCACGATTTTATCGTCTCATTATTTACATTTCCCAGGGGATCTTGATTTTTCTTCCGTTAACTCATTAGCGGTTGGAATTTCGGTTGGCCAAGTAGTGTTGATTGTATCAGCGATGATGTGTTTGTTTCTCATCTCCTTTGGATACTTCAGCACATATATCGCTGCCGTATCGTGTATTTCAAAAACACTGCCCTTCACCAAGAACTACAATATGGATTGCGCCTACAATCCATCGAACCTGAATTCTTTCAAAAAATTACTTACAGGGTTTATTGCATTCAACAGAACCTATTGGGCAATGACTTTCCCTCTAGGCACCATGGTTCTATCAAATAATGAATTATCAAAGTCTTTCGGTGGTTTAAGAGCTTTCCGAGTCATGGCCACCTTATATGCTGTGGCATTGTTAATTATAACAATTGGTTGTATTTGTGGAGTACTTTATAAGATTGTATGTTTTGCAAAATATACCCTCTACGGTACATGCTACGAAAAAATCTAATAATCTATTTTTGCATTTAATAAATCTAATATAATAATGAAATTATTTTATTCTATTGTAGGGCGTTCACTTATCTATATTGTCGTTTGTTGATAAATACTCTCAACAGCACTCTAGATAAAACATTAACATGGGATCGTAACTATTTATTGGATTACTCGAGTCAATTTAATCCTGTATTAATTGCAATATCAAGACTTAGCATTACTAATATGTTCGTAATTAGGGGTATTGTGTACATGGAGAATATTCTCCATCTATGAAATCCCTAAGGCTACATTTATTTGAGTTGATAGCCGCGGAAATATGGTTTTCTGCTTTCACCCCAATTCCTCCCAATATCTACTTTGATTTTAATGACATGACAATTTAATGTAATCAAACAATAGGTTTATATGACTAATACACTGATGCTACTTTTGAATAAATTTATAAAACCGCGTAACCTTGCTGTAGAATAAACTCATAGGACAACTCGGTTTTAGCACCATCCGAAATTTGAAATCCGCCCAGCCGAAGCAGCATTATGTTGTCTTCCAATGCAACAGGTGAAACTCATCAGAGCTCTGAAAGAGAGAAAGATTTAGAAATATACGTAAGAGATTTGAAGGGTAGTATTATTGGACGATTGTGCTACGAGGTAGACCAAAAATTGATCAAAGGCTTTACGCCTGCGTATTTTGGGACAATTATGGGAATTGGAGTTTCGAGTTGTGTTTTATATAAGTTTCCATATCCATCAAGATGGCTCGAGATATGTGGGTGTATCATATTTGGGGTTGGGGTGGCATTTTTTCTTGTGATAATTATATGCTTTGTTGCGTTTGTATTGCGATATCCAAAGAAATTTGCAGCCTATACCTGTGATCCAGCTATAGCACCCTTCATGGGAGGCTTACCTATGGGGTTCAACACTTTAATAAACTTTGTTTATTACTTGACAGGGAAGGAATGGATTATAGGTGTATGGGTATTATGGTGGATGTCGGTGATTTTGGCTTTATACACTGGGTGCGTCGTATTCTACGCTGCATTTATTGCAAAAAAAGAGTCGAGTTCCAATTACTTGAATCCAAAAGACATAAATGCTGCACTACTTATGCCTAATGTCGCTTTCACTGTCTCCGCATCTACAGGCAATTTGTTGGTTGTAGACTTGCCTTCTCTCAACCTTCAAATCATCACGATGATCGTAAGCTATATCTTGTGGTCCAGTGGTATTATTTTAACATTCATAATCTTGTCAATTTACTATTGGAAATTGTTCGTTCATAAAATACCTGCTACCAATCTTGTCTTTACGAGCTTTTTACCAGCTGGTGCTGTTGGTCAAGGTGCTTTTTGTATTAATTTATTTGGTAATAACATGAATAACTTAATCGTCCAACATCACACTACGATTTTATCGTCTCATTATTTGCATTTTCCAGGTGAACTTGATCTTTCTTCGGTAGACACATTAGGAGTGGGTATCTCGATAGGACAAGTTGCTTTGTTAATGACAGCAATGATGTGTTTGTCTCTTATCTCGTTCGGGTTTTTCAGTACTTACATCGCTATAATCTCAAGTATTTCAAAAATACGGCCCTTCACGAAGAACTACAATCTAGATCATACTTACAAGCCATCAACCCTGAACTCTTTTACGAATTTATTTACTGGTTTCATCAAATTCAATAAGTCATACTGGGCCATGACTTTCCCATTAGGTACTATGGCTATATCATGCAACGAGTTATCAAAGTCATTCGGTGGATTGAAGACACTCCAAGTAATAGCCACTATATATGCGGTTGCATTGCTAATCGTCACCATTGGTTGTATATTTGGAGTGATGTATAAAATTGGATATTTTGCTAATTATGCACTTTATGGTACAAACTATGAAAAGTTTTAATTCTCTAATTACATATGAATATAATTAATACAATATAACGTTCTCAGTATACTCATCAGGCATGAACAAGATCGTATCATCTCCAAATTCAATCTAGAGGGAGTGAAAGCCTGTTAATAATTATTGACAATACTATAATCTACATTCTCGATTTTCTGAGACCAAATTGAATATATTCAGATATAACAACTTATAAATGCTGCAAAATACGGAGCGATCATTTCAAAGGTTTTCTTGAGTGTTAACAGTCGGTTTCTTACATTCAACTTACTTATGGATTATGTGCTATGTGCAACCAATTACTTATCGTTGTATTAAAGACTATATTCTCATTTCTACTACTTCCTAATTTGGTTTTTGTCTTAAGTTTAAAGATGAGGTAGTACGCATATTAAACTTTAATTTACATTAAGCTTCGTAGCATTACCCCAGATTAATTGCACCATATCCTGTGACTGATGTTAGTATCGCGAATATCACCATACAAGGCTCTATTAATGCGCAGAACATTGAATAGATCTGGAGTATTGACTACTCTTTTATAGCTACAAATCCGCGGAATCTCATTCCCTTCTATTTCGTCATCTATCACGATTATTCTCATCATAAATCCTTAATTGAATTAAACTATAAATTTGCAGTATTAAAATATTGAAAAACGAATAGCCTATATAGAATGCTAACGATACGAGAATAGTAGAGAATAATCACACGTATTACTATCACACCAGCGAATTCAATTCTGAACTGGATCTTACAACATTACCTTATTGCGATGTCTTTAAAATCGTCGGAAAGCAACGAAAGAAATTTCAAAGGATCAGATTTTCCTATAAGCAGAGAAGAATCGAACCCAAGCGTTCTAAAGCGATTTGGGCATGAAATAGACCAAACCTTGATCAAAAACTTTACCCCAGGTTTATTTGTAACTGTTATGGGTCCGGGTGTATCAAGTGGCATTTTATATAATTTTCCTTACCCAGCAAAATGGCTCGAAGTGTGCGGTTGTATTATGTTTGGAATTGCAGTGATATTTTTGATTGCAACATTTACATGCTTTGTTGCATCTCTATTGCGATATCCCCAAAAATTTGCATCATATACCAGTGATCCTAATGTTGCACCTTATATGGGGTGTTTATCAATGGGATATAACACGTTGGTAAATTTTCTTTACTACTTGACAGGGAAGAACTGGACCATCGGTATTTTCGTTTTATGGTGGATAACGGTGGCATTGGCATTGTACACATCATTCATTGTATTCTACTGTTCCTTTCTTGCTAAGCAGAAATCAAGATCCAATTATTTGGATCCAAAAGATTTACATACGACTTTGTTGATGCCCATGGTTACTCTTATTGTGTCTGCATCTACAGCAAATCTATTTGCTCTTGACTTACCGTCCGTTAGTTTAAAAGTCACCACCATGATTATAAGCTATATCATGTGGTCCACGGGCATCATGATGGCAGGAATAATTATTTGTGTGCATTTTTGGAAGCTATTCGTATATAAGATACCTCCCACAAATCTAATCTTTACTACATTTTTACCTTGTGGTGTTTGCGGTCAAAGTTCCTTTTTTATTCTTTTATTTGGCAATAACGTTCATAAGCTTCTAGTTGAATATCATCAAACTTTATTACTGTCTCATTATTTGCATATTCCTGATGGCATCGATATTTCTTCACTTAACACTTTAGAAATAGGCATTTCTATGGGCCAAGTAGCGTTGATCATCACCGCTATGATAGGTTTATTCTTACTCGCGTTCGGTTACTTTTGTACCTATATTGCTGTGATCTCATCCATTTCTAAAATACGACCTTTCACCAAACATTACAATGTTGATTGTGCTTACAATCCATCAAGCCCGAACCCTTTTACAAGGCTATTTAGAGGTTTTATTGCATTCAATAAAACTTATTGGGCAATGACCTTCCCATTGGGTACAATGGCTTTATCTAATCATCAGATTGCGGAAAGCTTTGGTGGTTTGGAAGCATTTCGGATAATCGCTACAATGTATGATGTGTCTTTGGTTTTTATCACGATTGGTTGCATTTGTGGGGTGGTTTATAAAATTATACGCTTTTCAAATTGTGTCTTCAAAGGTATAAGCTATAAATAATGTTGAATTATTCCATCTAAATACATATATAAAACTAAGTAATTCAATATGTAATATATCCAATATTCTTGAAGTCTTTGTTTGTAGTATAGAGATTTCACTAACCAAAAACGCGCAATATTTATAGAAGTAATTCATTGATTTACCTTCTTTTATCGTCACTTCAACAATGAATTTATCTATTACTCTACCGACTAAGGCCAATCAACTAGAGAAGTATGAGGATCTTGATAAGTTCTTGTTCCATTTGCATTCGTCTCCTGTGAGGGATATTATATTTTTTGATGAATCCATATTAGGGTTCATCGTTTTAAAGGCACCGCTTAATACGCAGAACTATAAACAATCTAAGGTATTTCTTGATATATCAATTGTACTGGCAGATTTGCTTAAATCAAAATCAGATATCGAAAATGATAAGTTTAATTCCAGTATTATAAATACAACGTTGGGGTCTGATGACATTATCTTTCATGGTGAAAATAACGATCATCACTATATAATATGGAAGTTTGAAGTACCTGTTACATATCCGAAGAAAAAGGTCAATAATCCAAACGTACTGTTTTCATGTTTCATAAGTGATAAAGAAGCAAAAGGTACTTCGGTTAGTAGAGACAGTGGGCCCATTGCTGACAAGGCCTTAGCCAATTATAAGCCAAGCTATTCTAGAAATCTTTTATCAGAATTGAATAATGAAGCTAAAGGTTCTGAATCCAAGTACCTATTGACTATAGAACCGGATGTGCAAGAAACCCAACCGTCAATAATAATTGATGAAAAACTGGCATCGATTTCGAAAGCTAGTTTAAGCATACCTGTATCAGTTTCCTTAGTGATTAAACTAAAATCTACGAAGCCTGCAGGAAGAAATAACATTCTACTATCTTCTTTGAATATAGAACTGTCAGAAGAACTAATAAAGCTTTTGAGTGAACTGAAAGACGACTATTATTTTAATATATTGAACTTGTCACTAGACTTTAAAAATGGAACGATTGACGAATTTAACTCATTCAAAGATAAATTTCCTATGAGTGTTAAGCTAATCGATTCAGTCAGTTTGTCCTACAGACTTGTAAATAATGAATTTTTAGAGAAAGATTTGAAACAATTTGATAACACCTCAAATATGAATCAATTTTCAAAATCGATTAACATAAGGCTTACGTTACAAGTTCAGAAGTTCATTCCAGATTTAAATAAATTTGAAGATATAAGTAATATAATAACGACTAACTGGTCGCCATTTTTGGATTTCAGTATAATAGCACCTCCGATTAATAATTCATTGAAAACCACAACAAACTATTCTCAGTTTCAGTCACTGCCAAACTCGCAACCATTTAAATATAATAATATCAGGAAACCCAACTTGCTTAAACCAAAAGGTCTGTCATCGCAAGTATCTATTACCAGTGGGAATCAAATTAACACAGGGTTTTCAAATTTTAATATACACGGCTCCAAACGATTTAATAAGTCCTTGATTTCATCATCTTCATCGTCAGTTACTGTCAACTTAACAACTAGCAATAACTCTACATTATCTGGATTAAAGCTAACGTTTCAAGGAAAGCTCAATTTAAAACTAGGAGAGATTGTCAATTGGAATTTACAAGCAATTAATAATTCACCCAATAAATTAAATTTATCCTTAGTTGTCCAGAATCCAATAAATCTAAATTATGGCCAAAAAAATGCTAATAATTCTAATAATACGTCATCTTCCAATTTGTTGACTTCGGCTTCGGACAATAAAGAAGTACTAGTATACAATAAACTTCAACTCTTTTCGTTGTATCATTCTTTGAAATTGAATACCAGTGGAATTATAATTTTAGATAATGACATAAGAATAGGACCTTTAGAACCTAATAGTGTTTTCGAAACAAGTCTCAATCTTATTGGAATATCTCAAGGCATTTTTAATTTAGATGGTATCAAAATATTTGATACCTCTAGTGGTGATGGTTTGGATTTCGGTAAATTAGTGGAGGTTTTTGTTGTTTAACTGCATTCATTACATAAATATATTAAATCTATAGACTCACGTTTTATTTAATTTAATGGAACTGTTTTATTGAAAAATTTTATAGGGTCTAACTTATCTTTCGATTGTCTGTGGTATTCTTTGAAATGTCTCATGTAATTATTCAAGGGTTTGGATGATGCCGTTGTTTTCGAGCATTCCGTCCCCACAATTGCATAACAGCATGGACATACAACACCACACCTTTCATGTTCATGGGCTTTTGTTCTTCTTCGGGTATTTGTCTTTTTAATAATATAAATCCCATAATATAATGGGTTTGGAGTTAAGTAATTATCGGTATATACGCCATGTGTTAAGGCAAGATGTTGTGAATACGTTGAAGTTTTTAAATTTTTAAAGTTTATGTCTGGACAATAGGGGCATAATCCACATCTTGTCTCATTAAATGGAAGGTCGTTTGTTTCGTCTATCTCAAACCTTACATACTGTGGTTCGTATGGCTTAGAAATATGAAAGTTAGGATTTAATTCATAACCGACATTTTTATATAAATTTAAAATGGAATCAAGATTCTTCCTGACATATCGATTCCTCTTGATGCAACAAATACTATGTTCTCTATTAACTTTCAATTCTAATAGTTTATTTCTCAATAAGTCTTGGAAGTTGTATGGTTCTTCGTTTTTCGCAACATTAATTAATTTATCACTAGTTTCAAGATAACTCTCTATATCAACATCATCATAGCTGAATTCCCTTTGGATACGGGGTCTATTCTTACTTCCTTTAATAAATCTTGATCTCTTGTTCTTCAACGTATACATACTTTCCTTTTCAGGCGAGAACGGGCCTACATTAGATTGACAATTTACCGATGCAGAGCAAGAATTTATAATAAAAGAGGGATTAATGATATTAGGAGACGCCATTTCTATATCTTGGTTTCGATTAGAATATGTATAATTAGGCATACTGTTAATGTCTTCTAATTTGTTGCATGGTTGTGAGAAACTTGGTAAATCAATAGGATTTGCTGATGAAGTAAAGATATCTTCTTCATTCCTATCAGTTAATTCGGACCCAAATAGCCTACCATCAATAAAACAGCTATTAGCTTCTTGTTTAATAAAAGAACCAATGTTTTGGCGAGTCCCACCAAAATATTCATCTCTTTCCTTAGTGATGGGCTCAAATACACCACTCGAGGAAGTAAATTCTTCCAACTCAAATTCGAGAACCAAATTATTATTTCTATCAAATAATTCCTTGGGGGTCTCTTTCTTTTTAGCAAATGTATAGGGTCTTCTAATTTTATTATTATTCTCCCATGTATCAATTTCTCGGACTTCGTACGATCTTGGTTGACGATCACGATCCAAAACTGAATCGTGATTGAAATAGCCAAGAGGCTTTTCCTCAACAAAATCATTGAATGAAAAGGTTGTAAAACCTTGTCCTTGTGAATGATATTTCTTTTGTGATGTATCTATAGTTTTAAAGCAAGATTCAACTATAGTACCAAACAGATCCTCATTAGAACTGAAAAATTCCTCAGTTAAAAAAGAAGAGGGTGTAGCCATGGTACTATCATTTAGAAAGTTGAAATTCATATTAATTAGCAATAATGAATAGTGAAAGCAATATATATATTAAGAAAAGTTGCAATTATTACATTTTCTACGTCTGGGTATTTGTGGATGCAAAAAAAATGCAGCTTTGTTTAATTTAGGAAATTCTCGTGACATTACCGATTCATATTAATTATAACTCCACTCTTATTTATGTAGTTTAAAGGTGGTACTATTTGATGATAGAATCTAAAGGAAGTTACGTGAAACTTTTTTCTGTATGTTTTAAATGATTTTACCTAAGATATATTTCAATTTTGTAAAAATACCAAAATTTTATTTCGATGTGAAATTTCAAACTAAGATTTTAATTAACTATAAGGACAAGGTGAGTGGTAATCAATCAGAGCATCAAACTAATTGAATCTAGATTATTAGATTATAGTATATTACCATGCAAAAGTATTAGACTTTAAAAA